ACCACTTCAGTCAGGAGATAATCATTTATTGATGCAGACTGTTAGCTCCTCATATTAAGGGCAGACAAAGAGGAGCTGCGCTCTGACCACCACACTGTCGGTGTACACTGACCTGAGATTTTCAAATAGGGTTGTTAATGTGGAAAATGTAATAAAGAGCGCTGAGTTATTTGAAAAGTGCACGTAGCTCTGAAACTGTTCCTGTGAGTTGTCACAGTCTGTCTTCTTCCTATGAGCCTTAAAAACAAAGGGAATTAATAGATCTAGTACTTAGTATTACAATTTTTCTCCATGGATGTGGCCAAGTTATCAGTTTTGCAATTTAGGGTATATAGGCTATAGCCACTTCAGAAAGGATTCCCACCCCTACATTTTATGCACAGTTTACTTCTGTAAATGCATTATATTCAGAGGTGTTCCTAATATTCAGACCCTCTCATGACTATAATGTAGTGCAGTACAACACCACCTTTAACTATGAACTTAATAATAAACGTATAACAGAATGTATACATTTAGGACAATTTCACCACAAATATTTAACATTTTAAGCTTCATAAACACAGATGTGCAGGCAGAAGTGTCACACACAGGTGTAAATAATAAAGGGGCTGGAGAGCAAATACAGTCTAATTATTGACCACGAGAGCGCACACTTATCTTGGATTGAATCCATCTTCTCTAATCCACAACACAGGTGGGGGTCAAAGAACTGAAATATCAGGATAACCTCAGCTGGTATTTAAAAATCCAGGATTGCTCATTTGATCTGGAATCTGTTTACAGACGTATGATGAACACCGCCTTAAAGACAGTTTCCTTACACCAAATCTGACTCCACTGTGGTCATAGAACTGTTCTTTAACTAAATGTAGAAATCACCTGCTGAAAGGAAGAAGATTCACCTGTTGGAGGAGGAGCAGTGAGTAGAGGCAGGCGGAGAGGAGGCATCGAGAGGAGATGCAGCAGGTGGGAGGAGTTGTCATCTTCTGTCTCAGACCCTCTGCTCTTTCTAGTGTCTCTTCTAACATGACCTGAATGCAAAGAAACATGTTGGTCTGACTCTTCATCAGTGCCTCAGTCACTCTCGAAAACTAACAAACCCTTAATAAATGGCTCCATGAACTTTCCTCTTCTTTGTAACCCAAATGTTACATGTTTAACTCTGCTACTGTTCAGTTTTTTGCAATAGTTTAATCAATACTACATTATTTTACTTTTACGTTGTGGTTGTAACAAACTGCAATCTGTTGTGGTTTTCTGTTGTTACTGGAAAAAAAGAAAACTTCTGATGGCAGGACAAATCAAGAAAGTCAGGGACCACAAAATAAAAACAAGGTCAGGAACTGAACATTAACAGAACATTTCCTGAGAGAATTTTATTTAAAGGAACATGAGGAATACACAAATCAGATGTTGTCTTTGATGGTGATGAAGAAAAAATTTGAGCAAGACAGCTGCGGGAAAGAGATAAACACTTCTTGATTTGATCATTTCATATGTTTTAGTGTATTCTACTGTTTTAATGCAGATCCCTTAGTTTGTGTGTGTGTGTGTGTGTGTGTGTGTGTGTGTGTCATGGCAAATTAGTCCACCTCCACAACCATACTTCTTTCAGGAAACACTGACCTAAATCTGTTGACAGCAGCAGCGTCACAGCAACAATAGAACATCTGTGTAAAGATGAAAGATGGTGAATATAACAGGATGCACTGTTCATGTTGACAAATGGGTCAAATAAATTTATACAAGACTGCAGCACACTGTAATAAGCTGTTGTTCATATTGGCTCACAATGTTGTTTGAGGAGCAGTATGCTGCACGGTTAATGAACGATAATGCACCACATCACACCTCACTATAACAACATGCATCACACAGGGCAAGGACATTTTCTGTGCCTGAAATGAAATGTTGGCATGGGGTCAATGTGATGCTTGTCAGTATTAATGAATGAAAATGAAAAACAATGATATATTGTTGCCTTAATTAAACATTTTTTCTGGTGCTTTATAATTGACACTGGTCATATTATCTTTATTTGATATCATGAATGCAGCAACATAGTTACTATACATGCATTTGCATCAAACACTTTTTCCTCCTTTAGTTTCTATTATTAAACATCAGTATGGGGCATAATTGACCTACTGTTGTTAAACTATGTCAAATTAGTCAAAAAGATCGCAACAATATGAAAACAAAACAGGTAACCTATTTATTGCTGTGCTTTTTCAAAGTCATGCACTGTGGTCACATGCATCACTGAGCTGACACTTCACTGAGCCAAAGTATACACCATGGTTTTTATTAATAAAGATGGTCTACATGCATATACGTACAACCATAGGCCTATTCTTACACGGCATTAAAAAATTCACGAGAATATTTTCTATATATCCATTATATATCCACCATTTTCTGGTGCTTTCAAAATGATATTGGTCAGATTAGTTTTATTTTACACCATGCGTTGGGGTTTGCCAGGGGTTTGGGAACTGCAAGGTGAAGCCACCTGAAGCTCTTGAGTTTTCATGAATTCTAGTTCAATTTTTGGCCTCAGCTGAGCTGAAATGACCTTTTTATTTTGTCCACAACATATACGTAACAAAGCAAATAGCAAACTCCCTAACCTCATTAATGCTGAAAATACAAGCATACTGGCAAGTATTCATTACAAATTTTAATATGAACAACATTTTTTTCTTGGCAAAATACAGCGAATTCTCATGTGTGAGTGTAAGACACCATATCAAGCTGTAAAGTAACAACATACATCAAACTGGACTGTAAGGGCTGTTTTAGACTCTACACAAATTATGTAAATGCAGCTGCAAATGCAAGGGACGAGCAAGTATTTATGTCTATATAGCAGTGGCTGCTGTCACCTCCTAGCAAGAAGGTTCCAGGTTCGAGCCCCGGCTGACCCGGGGCTTTTCTGTGCAGAGTCTGCATGTTCGCCCTGTGCCTGTGTGGGTTCTCTCTGGGTACGCCAGCTTTCTCCCACAGTCCAAATACATGCAGAGACTGTACTCAATGCATCTCGTTATCCAGGAGCTGACAGTGTGTTGAACAGGTACAGACTGGAGCCCACAAAGCACGTCTATGACGGCTCACAGAGGGGTGCAACTGCACCACTGGGGCAGAAGGAATGCATGCTCCTGGTGAAGTGAGTACTGCAGGATCGGGAAATCCTGAGAAATGTTCCCAGACTTCAAAACTTTGGCTTGAGTGGAGCTGGCAAGCCCAGTGTCCAGTGAGTCAGCAGAGTGCGAATTCAGCTTTCAGATCAAAATTATAAACCACCACCACCACCACCTATGAAGCACTGAAGAGGGACCCCACCAGTGGCTACAAGAAGAAGGTTAAGGACTGTTTACAGAAGCTGGAAAAGGAGGGAGTTATTGACTGGGGACTATACTACAGACTATACCCTGGGGAGGCCACCCCTTGCTTTTATGACCTACCCAAAATACACAAGGAAGGCGCCCCACTCAGATCCATTGTCAGCAGCATTAACTCTGTGACTTACAACATAGCCAAGCACGGCCAACATCCTGGCTCCTTTGGTGGGAAACACAATGCCACATTATAAACTGTCAGGACTTTGCTAATAAAATCAGACAACTGCAGCTGGACCAGGACAAAACCATGGTCTCATATGATGTCACATCCTTGTTCACGTACATCCCCACCACAGAGGCTGTCAAGGTGGTGAAGAGGAGACTGCTGAAGGATGACACGCTGAACAGCAGGACTAACCTCACCCAAGACCATGTATGCACTCTACTGGAACTCTGTTTAAACACTACCTACTTCCAGTTTAGGGGTCACTTCTATAGGCAGCAACACGGCTGTGCTATGGGCTCCCCGGTGTCTCCTATAGTTGCCAACCTATACATGGAAGAATTTGAGAAGAAAGCCCTGTCTTCCTTCACTGGTACCACTCCCAGCCACTGGTTCCGCTACTATGGATAACACATGGGTTAAAATCAGGACCCGGGAGGTAGAGGCTTTCACCAAGCATTTCAGCTCTGTGGATATCAACATCAAATTCACTCGTGAGGATGCCAGAGATGACTGTCTGGCCTTTTTGGATTGTGCAGTCCACTTGGGAGGGGACAGAAGCCTGAAGGCAGAAGTATATTGGAAACCTACACACACGGACCAATACCTGCTTTTTGACTCACACCATCCACTTCAACAAAACTGGGAGTCATCAGAACTCTAAATCACAGGGCAGAGGAAGTGCCCACAACTGCAGAAGGGGCCAAGAAGGAGAAACTACACATCCAGAACTCCCTTAGGGCTTGTGGATACCCCAAGTGGGCCTTCAGAAAGCAAAGAAGAGGCCCAACACCAACAGGGAGAAACCAGAAACAAGAGGGGATAATACTGTCATCCCTTATGTGGCGGGTTTATCAGAGAAGTTAAAAAGGATCTTTCACAACCACAATATCCCAGTTAACTTTAAACCAGGGAACACCCTGAGGCAGAGACTGGTCCACCTGAATTACAAAACACCCAGACATAAACAGAGTGATATGGTGTATGCAATTAAGTGTAGTCAGGAGTGTAACGACTTGTACATTGGTGAAACTAAACAGCCGCTACCCAGACGCATGGCCCAACACAAGTGGACCAGAGTCAGCAGTCCACCTCCACCTGAAGGACAAAGGACATTCTTTTGAGGACAGTGAAGTCCAGATCCTCTCCAGAGAACATCACTGTTTTGAGAGAGGAGTCAAGGAAGCTATTTTTGTCCAAATAGAACACCCCTCACTAAATAGGGGTGGTGGACTCAGACACAACTTGTCATCCATCTACAACTCTGTTTTGAGATCTCTGCCCAAACCCAAACATGCCCACCAGGACAATAGGCGTCGGTTGACAGGGGAGGATCCAAAGACAGGTAACGACTCTCACCGATACTGGGCTACAACAACTCAGTCGTTAGGGGACATTGTTGGCTACCAAAAGACTGAATCACCACCCAGTGGGATAAATCCCTCCTGCTCAACACCAATCAGGCAGAACTGATGAAGCCTCTTGGATGAGAGGTGAAACGCCTTCTACCTAAAACTACGTTCAGATGATTTCTTCTAAGTTTTTTCAGCACTGGAAACAGTTCTTTCTCTGCAACAAAGATTTCAGAGTACAGTGACAGTACAGTATTTGCATTAATGCCCCTAGTGGAAACACCTGAAGTAAAACTCGCCCTTGTATCAAAATTTTAGATGACACACTTTGCCACGCAAGTACGCACCAAACCTTACTCATGTAGCTGAAAGAATTTGTGGCTGCATAGCTTGCATAGAGTCTGAAAGAGTCCTAAATTAGTGTGACACACATCATGCTGCACTGTAACACACCATGTCACACTGCACTATGACAACATGCACTGTAGTGCCATCATGCACCACTGCACGCGGTAATGCATCACAATCTACTGAACTATAACACACTGTAACACCACATCACTATGCACTGTAACATAGTTTAACACGGTTTGTGGATAGAGATGGAGGCTGTTGCCAGTGTCATAGACAGATATGTGTTTTTAAAATCACTCACTAATGGTTTTTGTTTACTAGAACACATCTAAATTATCTGGCTGTGAAAGCTGTAGTTTGTTTATTGTTGTTTGACTTGTAATTTCTGAACATGATGATTTTAAGAGTAGAGAGGCTACAAGTGGTCAGCACTGTTCTAATTAGAATGCTGTTTGCAGAAACACTAACAGATTGAGAGGCCGGCTACATTTATTTTATGTTGTGAGTGTCAGATTCCTGGAGGGACCGATTAACTCTACAGAAACTCTCTCACACATATAAACACAAACCAAACAGTCTAATGAAAGCAGGATGCCAGGCAGAGACCTCAGCTACTGAACACCCACATGTTTGTGTCCCCATCTACTGCCAAGAACATCGCTACAGCTGCAACACACAAACAAGACCTCATGTGTTCAAATATCAAATAAGTTGTTACTGTCTGCGCATCGACTCCTGACAGTGTCATCACCTCTTATCTTCTGTATGTAAGCACCTAATAGACTGGCATCTTTCTTGTGTCACCCGATGTCTGACTCTAAGATCCAGTTTTCCCAGGTTGTGAGAAGTGCCGGCGTTGTGTCCAGATCTGTTCCCACGTTGAGATGTTTCCCCTAACCATAGCCACCAAGGAGGTGCTACTGGAAACACAATTTTAACATGGGAAACATGTCAACTGAGGAACAGATTGTGACAAGACTGGTACATCAAAGAGTAAAATGTAGAAGTCGCTGGTACTGCGCAACTGCGCGTACCGGCCCACTTCAAGCACTGAGATTAAAGGAAAAACACAATGAAATATCCAGTGCCAAGAGCATTGTAACAAAAACCTCCTCCTCCGCTCGGCTTCATAATCAAAACCCCCAACAGGTTAATGAAACAGAAACTTTTAGCCTGCTGGTTTTTGTTCAGAAATAGCAACATGCTGTGGGGTTAGTCTGTTTACTGTGAGACCCATAGTGGCGAATACCCAGACACCAAGCCCACCAGGCTCCGGAGCTCATCCCCGAACATGAGCATAGCAGGAGTGCAATTGGTAGGTTCCTGGACAGCAGTCTGGCACATCCACAGGACCAGAGGCAGGTGCAGGTCCCAGTCCCACTGCTGGCTGGTCAGGATCGTGAACTGGGTGGCTAGCGTGTGGTTGAACTGCTCCACCAGCCTGTTACTCTGGGGATGCAGTGGTGTAGTCCCAGTCTTTCTGATGCCCAGCCACCAACACACCGTGCCAAACGCCTCTGCCTCAAAGTTCCGCGCCGGTCACTGTGCAGTTCCTCGGTCACACCATTGTGGCAGAACATCTCGTTGACTACATGTTCTGCAGTCATGGTGGAGTTCTGGTCAGGAACCCCATATGCCTCCGGCCACTTTGTGAAATAGTCCATGGCCATGAGGATGTAGCAGTTCCCCTGATTTATGGTGGGAAAAGGGCCCAGGATATTCATTCCCACACACTCCATCAGGGCCCCCAACTGGTACTACTCCAGGGGAGTGTGTGACCCCACTCCTGACACCAATTGTAGCATTTTTGCTGGGAAGAAGGGTCAGGGGACCAGAGCCAGTGTTTTTTTCTTTTGATTATCACATAATAGGAACAGCACAGCAACACTCCAAATTGTTTTAATTCAAACTATCAAACTGAACTTCCTTAAAATTAAACTATGTTGTCGTGAAACAGCTGCTGTTCATTTTAAACGCTGCACTCCTGTGGATTTACCATGAATGAAAAAGAATTAATGTATCAGGCAAATATTTATTTTTATTCTAAATTTAATTCATGCCTCAAATAAAACTATGTGGGGAGAAACAGTCACTGTTCCTGAATTATTTGCAATATTAATATCTATTTAATTACTGAAAAAAAGATCAATTATGTTTTATTCCTAATAAATCTTAATCTTTAGAGTGACTTATGATGCTGTGAAAGAGTAGTGTTTTGCTATGGTAAGGAAAATTATTCAGTGTATGAGAATAATATTGTTTGATTACAGAAAAGAGAGTTAATTCCGTTTTCATCCCAACTATCAGGCTGAACTTCCTTGGAATTAAGCTATGCTGTGGGCAGAAACAGACGTTTCTCATAAGTTAAAAAGAATGATTCCTTACATCTAACTAAACTACTGGGGTAAACCTCCTTGAAACTAAACCCCATGAATTATTTAATTAAGAGAGACAAATAATACTTACACCTATCAGCCTATATCTGTTCCGTGGTGGCCAGTCCTAATAAAACCCTTGTGAAGTGTCTAGTTTCAAATGGTGATGGTGGTCACACCTGTTCCTAAGGAGAGCCTAATATAATACTTTGATGCTAATATGAAAACATGAGGGCTAACTTGTTCTGATGTGAAACCCCAATTTTATTGTTGCCAGCTGTGGTTTTTATTGTAGACATCTGCATATGGTAAAACAATACAGTCCAGAAAACGGCGTGGGTGGCTCAGCTGCGGGCGGAAGCGAAGTGTCAAAAATGGGCGTGACCGAAAGACCATAAATCACTCCTCTTCACACTTAGGTCTGACAGATGGAGCATTTTTATACTCTCTGGTGACAATTTACCTGAGAGCTGAGAAGGAGACAGCAGGAGGCGAGTGCTGGGGGCATGTCCACATCGTCTCTGGGCGACCTGACTGGTTAGGAGAACATGTGTGTCTCCCCTCTGGAACATGCTAACTTCCTCTGGTGAGATCCAGCCTTCAGCTAGCTGCAAACAGCCAGCTGTTAGCATGTTATCATCATGCTAATGTGTAAGTATATGTGTTTATGTGTGAATGTACCTTGGGCAAAGGATGAGGATGATGAAGGGGTGCAAACTGATAGAACGGAGGGATGAGAGGAACAACTTCAACAGGTGGACATTCCCACTGAAAAACAAAGAACACAAAGATCCAATATACTGAACCGGCAAAGTGTACGGTAAAGGACCTGTAAACTGCATAGCACAGAACCAGTTGACTGTGCAGTAAACAACCTGCACTGCACAGCCAACTGTGCTCTCTCGCAGAGAGAGACAGGTGTACAGATAGACAGGTGAATAGGCAGCCATATATACAGACAGACAAGTGTACAGACACACAGGTGTACACAGACAGGTGTACAGACAGAAGTACAGAAAGTGTCCCTTCCCACCTGTGCTCCTGACTTTTCTACTCTTAAAAAGAATCATAAGGGCTGTGAGAAGCTGAAGAAAGATAAACTTGTTGAGGCACAGTTGAGGATTTGCTCTCAGCACTTAACTTATTTAAAAAGCATCTCTTCAACAAGGTGAAGGAGCTTTCAGAAATCTGTTATTCAAACAAAACTTTCACATTCAAAAGCCATGTCTGAAAATACAGGAGCACAGGTTTGTGAGCAGGTTCACACCTTTTAAACCAATCATAGTGAATACATAATAATCTGCAGCTCAGTTTGTATAGAACTGTACAAGCCATAAAGGTCAGCAGTCTTCTGAGTTTAATGCCACTTTCTGTGTTTTCTTTGTTTAACACAAACTCTGATAAGACAGTTTGCTGACAAGATGGTAAAGTCTGTCACTGCAGATAAAGCAGGAAGAATTAAAGAAGAGCTGCAAGAGATAATGAACATGCCAACAATAATTAACAGGTCATTTTTCACTTTACCCTCAGGGATCATTAAACTTTCATCTTATCTACAGACTGTAGAGGAGGCCAAACTCACTCAGACACTTTAGACCAGACTGAAGGAGTAACGTGATGCATCGCCCATTAAAATAAACCGTTTACAGTTTAAACAAAAAGATTTCACACTGTTTACAGATTTTAATGTTATTTTAGAAGGAATGCAAGTATCAGTTATCAAGTTTCCTGTATCATCTGTGTGTTTTTCACCTACACTGGGTGTGTGTGTGTGTCTGTGTGTCTTTCACCTATGTCAGATGAGTGTGTCACTAGTATTGGGTGAGTGTATGTTACCTGTACCAGGTAAGTGTGCTCAGGCCTCCACACAGCTGGGGGGTAGAAGACAAGAGGGGGCATGGCCGGGCACATTGCTGCAGACCAGCTGGCCAGCCACAGCCAATGGGGGCTGGGGTCACCACTGAGGAACATGCAGGGTGAAGTGGTGGTTACCATGCCAACTGGCTGACCTTTAAACCTTAATACTGGCAGCATCATGATGACATCACCACCTGAAAGACAAATAGACTTATCAGGATTAATTAGCACCAACAACCACAGTGCTACTAAGCAACTTTCATAGGAATGAATGAGCGCTGTCTAGCAACGCTGCATCCAGTTCTCCATTTAATACACCCATGGTGTAAGGTCTTCAGGGCAGTGAACAGGGAATACCCAGAATGTGAAGGGTCTCGTTTGTGAAGACGGCTTGAGCATATGTCACTCAGGTGTGGGAGCGGGGAGCCGACAATCCAATGAGCTGTTATTACCACTAGCTGCAGAGCTTTCCTTTCTGCTGTGACTAGAAAATCACACTGTGCAGCTCTAAGTCAGTCTGCTGTTAATCATGCAGCGGTAGAAGTTCAAGAGCAACTCCTAAGGAAGTTTGTTAAGGATCCTTATGAAAAAGATTTGTTTCTGAGCCTTTTTCACCAGGTAAGAGGTATTCATGCTCCAGGTCAGGTTCTCTGTTGTATATACAACCAGGTACTGGAAACTGGAGACATCCTCAGCCTCCGTCTGTGTACAGCTGGGAGTACTGTGTGCATATATTTTCCTTTTTCCTGAAGTTCACAGTTAGTTATTTTGTTTACTCTGTGTTCATGTTCAGGTTTTTTTTACACCACACAGTTAGGACATCTTCCTCCTTCCTGTAGGCCTTTTCATCGTTGCTGGATATCAGGCCCACTAATGCTGTGTCATCTGTGAATTTAGACACAGTATTTGAGCTGGAGGTGGACGTGCAGTCACTAGGAAAGAGGGAGTACAGAAATGGATCGGAGATACAGCCTGTACCCCCGTGCTGAGGATGAGAGTAGATGAGATGTGATGGCCTACTCTTAAATGCTGGGGTCTGTTTGTCAGGAAGCTCTGGATCAACAGGCAAAGCATCCTGTTTGTTTACAACTTTGAACAGGCTGATGGAACTGAAGGCTGAACTAAAAACAACAAACAGCACCGTTGTGTAAAATCTGTGAATCCATTTGATTTGTAGGCAAACTGAAACTGATCTAAATCAGGGGTCATGTGGTCTTTGATGTGTGCCAGCACCAAGCTCCCAAAACATTTCAAGATTAACGGTGTTAGTGCAACTGGCCGCTAATCACTTGTTTGTGACTACTGAGGTTTTTGGTACTAGAATGACGGTGGTCATTTTCAAACAGGTTGGGACTGTGGCTTGTTGTAATGACAGACTAAAGATGTTGGTGAAAACTGCAGCAAGCTGGGAAGCACAGGCCTTCAGTGCTCTGGAACCCCATCAGGCCCAGTTGCCTTGTTGCTGTTTATGTCCTGTAGAACATTTTTCACCTGATAAATGCTGCAGAGTAAGTGTTTGTTCAGTCTTTGTTGCAGTGATGGTTAGAGATGACCTGCCATTGGAACTGACCCCACAGCAAACAAAAAAATGTGTTGAGCTTATCCAGGAAAGGGAGGTTGATTGAGACGATGGAGTTGTGGCACTGCTTGTGGTTGGTGATGTTCTTTATTCCTTGCCACATATTTGGAGGGTTGCCATCCTTGAAATTGTCCTCGGCACACTGTTTG